TTGGGTCACAGGGGTGAGGAGCTGGGAGAGGTAGGTGCATACAGAACAGAAACACAGCGAGGTTAGAAAGGCAACAAAATTGAGTCAATTTTGAAAGGGTATAACACAAACTGGACATAGCCTGACCCAGCTCAGTTCAATTGAATTTAGCTACACAGCCTGTGCATTCTAGGGACAAGAGGCGACCAACACTATTACTCTCTTACTTAAGGACTTTCTGCCCAGCAATGAGAGCTGGCCCACACTACCAAATAGAAATTCACCACATGTTCAAGCTTCTGTACTTCTTGCTTACAAAACTTATATAACCAATTGGAAAGCCAGCTTGGGGCTGATGTTTTAGGAATGATCCCTGCCAGCCTGCTGGTATAATGAAGTTAGTTGCCTTTCAACTCCTTGATGTACACAGTCTTCTATATGGTCTCGTAACAGGTTCCACAGAATTTTGACAGACATAGCAGCAAACAATCACCTAAAGAGGGGTACACAAAAATTATGATAAGGGCTTAAATAAAAAGGATATTATAGTAAAAGGCATAATGCTACGGAACCCCTTCAAAATCCTCAAATACCACCCTATCTTTGGACATACTTATCCCATCATTCTTAGCAATGAGTCTTTTTCTTGAGACAGAGTCTCATTATTTAGTGTGGGCTGGCCTTGATCTCACTATGTAACCCTAGCTGGACTTGAACTCTTGGTAATCCTCCTGCCTCAGCCTTAGGAGTGCAGAGATTACATGTTTATTTCAATATGCCTGGTTTAGCAGGCTGTTTTTACTGTAAAGTTTCTTTAAAACAAACATTCAGCAGGCACATACTGTAATCCCAGCTCCAGAGGCTGAGGCAGGAGGACAATGAATTTCAGCCAGCAATTTAGTGAGACTCTCTCGAAATATTACAAAATACAGTTCAGGCTATAACTCAGGGTGAGAGCCTTGGGTTCAATTCCTGTGATTGGGAGATTTCTAAAAGAGGGAAAGTAGGCAAAACCCAGTGTTTCTTCCTGTTCTAATTCTCAAACATGTGTGGGCTCAACATATCTCCTGCACAGTCTAGGAAATGAATGCGGCTGAATACTTGGGACAATACTCTGTGCATTGTCAAAATTTTGGTGTTTATTTGGGGACTTCCGTGACCCTACAGAATTCATATTAACCTCACCAGACAACAAAACAAAATGAAAACATAAAATCAACCACAAAACTCAGCCTCCCCCTCCCGCTTCAGCAATAGTGTTGTCTGGGCCTCCAGAAGCTACAGAGAGTTGCAGTTGAAGTGAAGGTCCCTGAAGCTAATACCCAGGATGCACTCAGAACAGAGCTGGGGGCCTCTGCAGCCCAAACCCTGGCAAGCTGACTGAGTGTGTGTGTGTGTGTGTGTGTGTGTGTGTGTGTGTGTGTGATTGTGTGTGTATGGAAACAGAGCATTGTCTTCCTCAGAACACACAACTTGGGGCCTTGGCTTCTGCTCTAGAAGGAGGGGCCCATCACACAGGCCGTAAACCACCTACAGGATCCTGTGTGTTCTGGGCAAACCGAGGCCACTCCCCAATGTGACTGAGCCTGCCCAAGTTAAGGTCAGATCCATGACATTGTCTGCCCTTCCCTCCTCACATGTTTGATTTTTTTTTTCAAGAGAGTGCAGGTGGATCTCACATTGTAGCTTCACTTTCTGGCCTCAAACCGTCAGCAATCCTCCTGCTTCAATCTTGTAATGCTGGGATTACAGACATGTCCCACTAATCCCAGTGAGTCATTTTCACACCCTGCTAACACCTTGGCCCTCTCAGGGCTCAGCTCTAATCTAATCCATTTACACCTTGATTAAGGGCGGGGAGGGTGGTGAGGTACAAGGACCTCTCATTGAATCATCTTAGCCCAAGCCTCGCCCAGAATCGGGGTGGGGTCTGGCTCTTAAAATACTGGAGCCTTCCTGGGCTGGGGTCCACTCAGCCCTGGGCTTGAAGTAGACATCTCACAGTGCATTTTCAGCTGCTGTTTTCCAAACCTCAACCGGTCCAGGGACGTGGTTGGAGAGAACAATTCTAGGTAAGCCAAGTGGGTGAGTAGCAGGCGAAAGTACCTTCACTGTAGTGGGAAGTGTATGGCTCAGTTTCCTTTTGGAAGGAGGGAGAAGGGAGTGTGCATCTCAGGCCCCAGCTGGGGGTCACCAGCTCTCTGCTCCCTGACTTGATTCTCCCTCCGTCTAGTCCATCCCCCTCTCTGTTCCACCCCACCCTACTTTCTCACTGCAGGTGGTCAGGAGGCAGATAGGTAAACTCCCTGCAACCCTACCTTTGTAGTTCTCTCTGTGGACCTGTCCCTTCAGCCCAGAGCTTAGCCTGGCCTCGTAGGAGCTCAGCCCAGCATCTGGGACGCTTCCTTCCTCTCCTCCAACTCTCCAGGTCTGTGTTAATCTCAGTTCTTACATATTCTGCCCTTGGAGAATTTTGTGTCCATGCCAACTCCAGGGGTCCTGACACCTTCTCTATGCGATCCAAGTGTGTTCAGCTTATGGAGGGAATTTGAAAAGTAGAATTAATAGGCTGATTTTCCCAATTGTGGTAGAGACAGTGTATGCTCATGGAAATCACCCCTTGAATTATGGGCGTTTTTCTGGAGGAACATTATGACTCTCTGTACTGGGAATCCTTCCACACCTCTAAATCGTTTTAAAATATTTTAACAGGGTCTTGCTAAATTGCTAAATTGTTGGTGGAACTCAGGGTTGCAATCCTGCCTCAGCCTACTAATACTGCTGGGATTACCGATGGAGACACTGTGTTCAGCTGGTATTTTCTCCTTTTTAAAAAATTTTACTTATTCATTCATTTGATGCTTGGTATTCGGTGGAGCCAGCGAGCAGTCAGAAGCAGAAGCAGCATGTCCCATGCTCTCACTAAGCTGGGAGAGTTGCAATGGGCCTATAGAATGCATGTTCTAACTGGGGAAGTTCTCTGTTTTTGATGGGTTTACGGGAAGGTCACTGGAGTGGTAAACTGAGGAGACTCTGTAGTGACCAACACTAATTTATTCTGTGACTTGCAGGCTGTGCTGTTGAGTTCCTTACTTGTGAACTGGTAAGCACTTTGTATATTAGTAATATTATTAGTTCCTGTCTGCCATATGTTAGAAATATTCCCCAGCCTCATTTGGTAGTTTGTCTTGATTTCAAACAGTGTCATGTCAGATTTTTATTCTTTTCACCAGATGTTTAATTTTTAAATAGACAATTTTGTCTGTCCAGAGTTTTGATCTTAACATCATGCACAAATAGCCTTCTCTCTCACAATCCTTTTTTTTAAAATACCTAACAATTTTTGTAAAGTCATGTGTGAATCTTACAAGGGATCCTCATATTGTGGCTACAAGTCCTCCCCTGCCGCTGGGCACCTGGACCTTTGATTTGCTCTTATACCACATCTCCCATTGTACCAGATACGATTAGTGTTTAGGCCGTTCAGAACACTCCATAACATCTCAGGAGACATGTGTGGTGAGACCAGGGATTGTATGGAGAAGAACCTCAATCAGGATAGACTGCTGCACACTCTTCCTAACTGTCTATCTGCCTGCCAGAACATGGTCTCATGTCCTCATCAACCCTTCATTAGCTCTATATGCCCTAACTCCAATGTGTGTTCTGTATGGACTACCTACCACGCACCATAGATTACTTTAGTTGACCTTAAACATGCACATGACATTTACATTGGCTAATGAATGGGCAATTTTTTTTTTTGTCTTTTTCAGACAGGGTGTTGCTATGTAATTCAGGTTGGCCTTGAACTCACTTGGTAGCCCCAAATAGACTTGACATAGCAGCAATCCTCCTGCCTCAGCCTCCAGAGTGCTAGTGTTGCAGTGTGTACCGCAATGCCTGACTTCATTCAGATTTTTAATTGTTTGTTCGTTGATGGGACTTGAGTATTGGACTGAAGGTGGTAGGACAGGCCTGGAAGGCCTTTCTGTTATGGTAAGGGAAAGGCCATTTGCATTTCTGGCTTTGCTGGTACCTGTGTGGATTTGAGCTATGCAGACTGTGTTTTTTCATTTTGTGATGAGATGGTGGGAGGGAGGAATCAGGTCACAGATGTGCTGGGCACACTCTGCCCCTGAGCTCCACTCCCAGCCCAGATTTAGGGCTCAAGATTTTCTCCTTTCTTAGCAGAACTCCAAAGAGTTGGCCATCCGTATTTCTGTGTCTGTGTTCTTTGTGATCTGCAGAGGAGATGGAGAAGGATCTAATGCACACTTATTCTGCTGTTCCAAGAAAATGCTTCACATGGCTGCCACACACTCTGCACTGCCTAGAGCCACTGGCTTTCCATTAATACAAGCCCTCGCCCTCATCTTCTTTCTGACAGGCGGTGAACTTGCCTATTCCCCTCACTGCCCCTCTAACCAACTCTCTGCCCATCCCACAGACACCAAGGTGGTGCCCAAGGATACCATGAGACCTGGAAGATTCTACAACATGGAGATGGGATGAGCACCTCCAAGAAAGGAAAGGTAGAGACGAACTTCCTCAAGCCCTGGGATTATCCCAGCCTCCATTCTGGCCTCCAGTCTGTAAGGAAACACTGCACCAGACCCACCTTGTGGCCTGTCGTACTGTGTCCCCAATCCCTCTATTCCTTCTGGGGACCCACACCACAGGACCACCTCAACTCTTGTTCTTACATGTGGATGTCCTCTGGTCCTTCTGTCTGGACTGGGTGTCCAGTGCTGGCAACCCCAAATCCTGTAGGATGGAGGAGTGCCTCTAGCTTTGATCTCCACACAGCCACCCAGCACTCGACTGCCCGAGACCCCAGTGTACTTCCAGATTTCAGATCCTCATGCCCAGCCTCTCCACCCCCTCCCACGCTGGCTGGTGGCACTCCCAGCCACTATCCTCAGCTGGAGCCCCAGCCTCTAGCTAGCTTATACCTCTGGGATATAGTAGGGAACCCAATCCTAGGGTTTCCATACTGGAGGAGGCACAAAACTTCCTCCATGGATCAGGCCTCCAGGTCCAGCACATCTGTGCTGTCATTCAGCAGCTCTCAAGTGGGACCACCTGCCCAGTCTCCCATCTCAGACCCTGAGCCTGAGCCCTCCATCTCAGACCCTGAGCTTGACTTCCCCTTCTCAGAGTCAGAGACCGAGTCTCCCATCCCAGACCCTGATCCTGAGTCCCCAATCACAGATTCTGAGCCTGAGTCCCCTATCTCAGACTCTGAGCCTGAATCCTCCATCTTAGACCCTGAGACCGAGTCACTCTTCCCATACTCAGAGACCAAGTCTCCCATCCCAGACCTTGATCCTGAGTCCCCCATCTCAGACTCTGAGACTGAATGCCCCATCTCAGACCCTGAGCCCAAGTCTCCCACCTCCACTCCACCACACCCTCTGCCCCAGTTCACCATCCCAGACCTGGAGCCTCACCTTCACCTCGCTGCAGGGCCCGCCGCTGCCTCTTCCAGCCCTAGTCACTGTTGCCTTAAGTTTGCCATCTAGATGTGCTCAGTGTGATATGCTTACACTGTCCAGCCCACAGTCCCCCATATTTCTCCACCTTCATTCTTCCTTTGTGCCTATCAGCCCCCATGGACACCCTTCGCAGTCCCAGACTGGCTAGCATGCTAGTGCCCTCAGACATGCTACTCCCAACACAGAGATGTGACTTTTATGTACTTATACTTTGAAGTTATATAAGTGATGGGCTATAGAAACTGTTTCTTTGCTCTCGACTGGTCAATAAAGGATTAAAGTTAATAAATGTTTACAGTTGATTGGTTTTGCCTCCGTCAGAATGGGTCTCCTGGTGGGGCACCTGGATAGCCACAGTCTACCAGCCCCTGCTCTGCTGCAGCCCAGCCACCCTGCAAGGTCCTGAGTCCTACAGGTGACACCCACCCTAGCACATGGACCTGGAAAACCCAGACCTCGCACTGTGGGTGCTGCCTCTAGGACTATGGAGCCTCTTTAGTTCAGTGGGTATAAAGGGTCCACCAACTCCTGTCCCTAACACTTGCGCCCTTCATAGACCATGGTCTTTCATCTTCCTTTCACCTGCTGTCTTGTAACTCACAGGATATGCACATCTTCTTGCAAAACTATGTACTGACTATTTCTTTCACATCTGGAGTTGGATCCCAATGCCTTTACCCTGGACATTTTAGATTTTTAATGCTGAGACAGGGTCCTGCTAAGTACACAGCTTGAACTTGAATTTATAATCCAATTAAATAAATCATATACACTACAAATTCTGTTTCTTCTTAGTTTTCCTGTTAATATACTTTAAAGCTGGGCTTGCCTGGATGTGTTATACTGTATTTCATTTATGTTTATAAATTTAGTAAGAAAACCTTTTTCTACTGTTTCCTACTGTTTTTATTACCTGTGGTATCATGTTTCTCTTCCCTACTCATGTCTATATTAAAAGAAGATAAGCTTAACATGTGGGATCAAGCTTACCAAGCTTACAGTAGTGATCTTGTGCAGAGGCCCAGGTGCGTAAGACTTGGTCCCACACATGGGCCTCTTTGGAGGTGTTGGAGCCTTTAAGAGATGGGGCCTGTGGGAGAAAGTGAGGTCATTGGGGGCTGGCCCTCTGGGACCCCATCCTCCTCTTCCTTTTACTTCCTGACCATGGCTCCCCTGCCATGATGTGCCATCATTAGCCCAAAGCAAAGGAAATGACCCATCATAGACTGCAAATGCTCAAAACTGAGTCAAAATAACCCTTTCCTCTTAATAAGTTGATTTAGATCAGGTATTTGTTAATAACAAGAAGCTGACGGGCTGGAGAGATGGCTCAGTGGTCTAAGGCACCTACTCAGAACAAGCTTAGCAAAGCATCAGGGACCGTGGTTCAATCCCCCAGCACCACATGCCAGCCAGCCCCGCCCCCTGGTGGGCTGAGCTGGCCACACACACACACCACTCTCTCTC